TTGCATTTCTGCTCTGCAAGTTGATGGAGCTATGAGGTCTTCTGAAACGGGTGGAGGGAATATTCTCGAAGTTGGGCAGGGCCTCATCCTTGAGCGTGAAGGGCGTTTGAAGGCCATGGAACGACTCACAGGGGGAGATCATGGGTAGCCTGATTTCGTCTCCTACTGCCTCAATTTTGGGGGGAGGAAATTTCATCCCCTGCTGAAGATGAAAACTCTAGCCAGCTCTTAACTTCTCCATCACTCCAAAGCAATCAAAAGTACTTTAGTCTCTATCATCACAAAACACAGTTTGCAAATGCTAATCGGAATGGGCAGTCCCATGTGACAGTCAAAGCTCCTAACTTCACTCAGTTGCAGCCACTCCCCCCGCCCCCCAGGGCTGGCGCGGGTGGGGGTGGGGTGGGGGTCAGAGAGGCAGGAAAGTCCTACTGGGCCTCGCTGAGTTGGCACTGGCCTGAGCTGCTTCATGCTCCCTACGGGTGTTTAAAGGAGACTTTCTGTCATGGGGAATTTATCTGAATTCTTCCAGACTCTGCCCCCCACACCCCCATCTCTAGCTATCCTCTCCTGAAGGTCCCTTCTTCTGCTCTGGATTCTGACAGACATGTCCTCTCTCCCAGGGCCCTTGGGGTCTGAAGCTCTAATTCCAGCCTCATCTCTGCTGAGGTCAGCTGGCTCCTGTTGGTGGCTTATCAGGCATTTCCTAAGGTGTCCGCAGGCCATCTCTGTCCTGTACCCGTGTCAGGTCCATGGGAAACGCTGGCAGCAAACTTTGGGTGTTGTGGGCTGCTGGCAGGGCTGCGCACCACTCCTTTGCTCTGCTACCAAAGCAGGAACCCCACTCCCGTACTCTAGTGTTCCTGGGTGGGGACCCACAGCAAGGTACCGGGTCCCTAACCAACAGGGGACACATGCCGCGTGTCTCCAAGTGGTGCCTTGAAACCCTTTCTCTGAGTCTGAGGTGGCCATGTGCCCCAAACCGCTCTCTCCAATGAAACCCTCTGCAGACTCCCTCTCCCCTCTCCACCCTCCCAACCCTTTACATCCTCAAAGTGGTGGGGAGGTTTTAGAGGTGGACAAACATCTGCTGGGCTGTTGACTTTGACAACATGCACCTTAGTTTAGCACCTGGTGTTGGCATAGCCTGTTGGCTGTATTTCAGTGTTCCCGTGAAACTGCTCATTGGACGTCACTACAGGGATCCTGCCTTGTGGAGAGAGGGACCCCTCCTGGTCCCTTGTGGGATCTCCCCAGGGGTCCAGAGAGGCCGTCAGTAGGGGGATGCCCAGCCACTGCCGCGCAATCCCTACCCTCCCTTGGGCTTTCCTGAGCACCTCCCTTGCTGGAGTCAGGGGCCATCAGAGATACCACAGCCTCCCATTTCTGACTCTTACCCAGTGCCAGGTCATCGCAACTCCGTGGCCATTTCGCGAGATTTACTGTCACTCTGAGCCTTTCTTCCATTTCCATCACCTTGTTAGAAACTCAGACCAAATCTATGCTCAGAGCTGAGCCTCCGGGACAGCTGCCCAGTGCTTGCTCAGTGCTGTTGTCAAATGACAAGGAGCTGTCACCACTAGACCTCACGGGCAGCACGATGTCAGCTGTGGGGACCCAGAGGATGTCTGTGCCCAATGAGCTGGCAGATGGGGAGCTCCCAAGCTCAGTGCAGCCCTCCCCCAACCCCATCACAGCTGCCCTGGGACAGCCAACAGGCTGGGTGTTTGGGAGGCTACCACGTGGCTGTCCAGCGACTCAGGGAATCTTTCCTCTCCCCCATCTGCACTCTGCATGGCAGGCCCGTGCTGGCCAGTGGTGGTAGCTCCTCATTCCTATTTTAGGTGCAGAGACTGATCATCACAGGTTTGAGACATCAGACAGATGGCCCAGCCAGCAACTTGCAGGCATTTGTCAGAGGCGGTGGCCTCCCTGTCACTGTCTTCAGGGCATGCTGGTAATTCTGGGGCTGTGAGATCAGTGTGCGTCAGCGCGTGGCCAGCTTGCCTTCTACACTTTTCTGCACAGCTATACCCATTGTCCTGTGGTGGCAGCCCGCTTTTTCATGATGCAGAAGTTGGTGTTGTAGGTGTTAAGATGTATTGGTTTGGGTACTATTGATGTGGTCAAGAACCTTTTCCAGTCTTCTGTGTTTGAGGTGACCTGTGGCTTTCCGGACAGGAGCCCAAAACACCCCAAAAGCTGCTCACTGGCAGTGCTGGCCTCCTTCCGACGAGGCAGCCCCTGTTTTGTGGATGTCACTTAAAGGAATTTGCCCAGTAGTTTGGAGGAAAGAAACTTAACAGCTTCGAGGCACTTGCCACATGCCAGGCACTTTGCCAAATGCATTCACACAAATTCTCTTATTAACCCTCACCGTGCTCCTGCAAGACAGACCACCATCATCACCTTGGGGTTCTAGAGGAGGATATGGAAGCTCCAAGAGGTTACATCAATGGTGGCACCTGGGTATGAACCCCGTGTGACCCCACAACCCAGGCGTAGCTTTCCTGGACCCTCCTGCCCTCCCGGGGCACTTGCCGGGGCTGGGGGTGCAGCTCTTGTGCCGGGGCTCAGCAGCCACTGCTTCTCTGACCTCCCCTGTCCTGTGCATCTTTGTTGAGTGACGCATTCAGGACCCTGAGCCCACTGTGGAGAAAGTCTTTCGTACCAGATCATAGTAGACTGTAAGGTGTGTGGGTGCTGTGGGTTTGGTTTAATGAACTTTCGTCATCGACAGCCTCTGCGAAGCCAGAGCAGCAGCACTTTGGTACTTTCAGGTCGTGCCTTTCCTGAATGTTTTAGGAAAAAGACCAGAAGATGCAGGGAGCTTTTTTTCTAGCAAATGATAACTGTCTTTGCTTTTATCCTCTTCATTGGCTGACGCCTAAACCAGCTGAAGAAGCAGGCATTGGAGACACCCCCAACCTGGAAGACCAAGCTGCTGGACACGTGACTCAAGGTTAGTGGGCCAGAATTGCCTGCCATGACTTGGGGGTGAGGGGACAGCTGGGAGCTCTCACATGGGCTCTACCCCAAAGAGAGGATTTGGACCTGGGCCCTAATACACAAGACCAGGAGATTTGGGGGAGCCGGTTCTTATCAAAGGTGGACTATTCAAATATAGAAAGACCCCGAGTGTTTTTCTTCTAACACCATATTTGAGTCATTCCTAAGGCATTTACTATCCTGAAAGAAGCTGGCCTGGGATTTGAGGATGAATGTCAAACAGGCACTCAAGTATGTATCATGGGCAGTTCCCCCCACGGGCTGCCTCTGGCCTATCCAGAATCAAGGCCGTAACCGCATCACCCCCAAGCTGTTGCTTTCAAACTTTCTTCTATGCAACCTTCAAACCTTATTATGACTGTCTTCTCAGGAACCAAACTGCTGTGTTCAAGAAAAGCAGCTTCTGTAATCATTTATCATAAATATTTTAAGAACTTAAAAAAACCTTGAGACTCCTAATTTTAGGAATCGGAGACCTCTGATATAGATACAACATGGGCTGGGTTTGTTTTCTATAATTTGTGGATAAATGAACCTGAGAGTCTACGGTATAATGGGGGAGCTTCTAGATTGCAAAAGAGCTGGGAAGATTCTGGTTTTTTCTCCAGAAAGTGATATGGGACTTGTCCAATGTTTAGTGTCACCACTGGTGCTGT